CAATACCTCGATAATCTTAATACCATCTAGCATGACCATCCAGATAACTAAAGAAGGTGTGATGCTTAAGCCAAATGTAATTGTTACATTGAGTCATATGTAATTATGCATAGAATTTGTTCAAAAAATCTTAAGAATCAAGCCCCATTAACCATCCCAATGTATGTGGTCATTATCACAAATATGTCTAATAATAGTGGAAAAACACATCTTTTCTTGTTAAGCTTGCATTGGAAAGTGGAGGATTAGCAAAGAATATGTTTCCTCCAAAATTTCTCAAAAACGAAAAAAAATGCAATTGATATAGGGATTCTAGAAGATGGAAATATTGTGCCCACTACAATAAACGAGAAGTGGTCAAATAGATCAAAAATGTGATATTTGTTCTATAATGAAGAAAATTTAGGGTTAATATAATCTCATGTGGAGTGGAATCTAGAAAGCTACTAATAACATAATAATCTTTCTTTCTTATAAATTATCCAAATAAGTTGAGACTTGAAGGCATGTAAACATGTTTCTAGCAAGGAGACTAGCAATCTTTTTTTTTGGCATAATCTTTCTTTCTTATAAATAAGTTGGAACTTCAAGGAGACTAGAATCTCAAGATATGTAAACATGTTTCTAGCAAGTTGAGGAATATTGAGAATAGCATATAAGTGTTTGTTGTTAGTAACATTATAAAAAAAGTGGATAGCACTTTTGCATCATTTATGAGCAGCACCATATTAATGCTCAAGGTACTAAAAATGTAATTCAAGTAAACCATATTTTAACAGGTGACAACCCCAAAAAATAAGCATATCATTAGCATATACTAAGTTGGATAAAGTTTGATCTCTACAAGTAATCCCCAAAATGTTTCTAAAAGATGTATCAATATTTAAGAGATTTGAGAGTGCATCCATGATAATGCATAAAAGTGGAGAGAAGGGACTACCTTGCATTAGCCCATAAGTAGAGCACAAAATAAAAAAAAAACTCAAGAGACCCAAAAAGACATGGAGAAATAAACATCCTTAATGCAAACCTTCAACCATAGAGAGCAAGGAAACCTTTTTGTTACATATTGGTGTAAAGGATAAGGAAAATGACAGTTGTCATGATATTTTTAGAAATTTTTAGTGAGAAACAAGTGCTTAACTATTAAACAAACTTGAATGCCCACAACATCTCAAGACCTGGAATAAAATTCAAATGTTAAGCCATATGAACTCGTTAGTGGTAGAGTTTTTAATAGCAGAAATGATAATATTTTTGATATTTTTATATGAGATAGAAACAATGAGGTCAAACATGTTAAAGTGAGGAAGTTGGTTACTAATAAGAAGACCCTAAAAAATAAGTTTTGCTAGCATTATTGGATCTTAAGATAGCCCCTTAAAATGCATTATAAAAGTATAAATAATATTATCTTGAGAAAAGAAGAAACTGTGAGGAAAATTTTCTTTTTAATATGATTGTGGTTCTTCTATTCATTAATATTCCCAAACAGTAAGAAAATGTCATCCTCACTTTGTGAGATTCATTTAGCTTTAGCATGCTAGATGATCCAATGTACCTTTAAAGAGTGTACATCTATTAGTTTAAGATTGACTTCATTGGTGTAAGAATTAATGATAATGTTTATAAGATGGTTATCTAGCATATGTGGGTAATAAGTTTATCTTTTTCTAAATTCATAATTGAGTTAAGCAAATGATTGACAAAATATTGATTCGGACTTTTGATGACTTACCTTAGTTTCTTAAGTTTCAATGCAATACATAAACAGGGTCACCAAGTGAAAGATAAGATGCTTGCATAGGAATGGCATGATGTGTATTAATTCTTGAATTTGAAATGATGCTTGCTCAGGAAGTAGAGTTTAGTATGTATAACTAGGGGAGAATGGTTCGAGCATAAGGGGATTTGGATCTTATAAAAAGAAAAATGGAAAGATTCCATTCAATTATAGTTAATAAGCAACACATCTAGTTTGATTCATATGAGATTCTTAAGCTAGATATTGCACCAAGAGAAAGCCAACCTAATCAAAGAAAGCTCATAAAGACCTATCTCAAATATCATATAGTTGAAATCCTCAAATTTATTATTGGGTTTGGTATTACCTTCTACTTTTTTAGAGGAATACTTGTAGCAATTAAACTTAATCAAGAAAATCCATGGGCCATTGATATTGGAAGCAAAATTGATAAGACATTTCCATAAAAATTTTCTTTATTAGTGATATTTTGCTTCATAAATACCTATATGTAAAAGGTGGTGAAGTGGACACACTATACCAAGCCATGGAAATAATATTAAAAAAATGTTGGAAGAGATTCTTTTCAACTAGATCCTATTAGAGGGGTTTGTGTTAAAAAATTGCGACAACTATTTACATTTTTGCAAAGAGGATGTAGGAGTTAAAAACTTAGGGTCGTTGAGGAAATTATTATGGGATTTGGTTTCAAGAATACACATAAGGTTAAGGTTGACTGATCTAATTAAATTCTTAACATGAAGGAACCGATCAATGTTATGAACACCTCTAACATTTTAATATGTTATTGTCTTGTATAATATTTGGGGGTTTAAATTGTTTATGGTGGTAAGGAGTGGACACCCCTAAAGAAGAAGGGATTGGCTTGGTGAAGGATAAGAGATGATTGTGAGTGGTAATAAAAGATTTATTTTGTGTTGATGAAGAGGATCAAGGATCAATAAAACAAGGAATGTGTTTGCCTCAAGGGAGTTGAAGTTAGGAGGGACTAAAGTGGATACCTAAACAAATTTGGTTTGGATGAGAGGCTGAATATGCTTGTTAGAAATAAAAAGAGTAATGAGGTTTTGTAATTCTTAGCCATTTGTTGAGACTCTTGCCTCTATCAAATGGGCAAGAATTTGAAAGGTTTGAAGGGAAGTAAATGAAAGATGTACATAGGATCCACAATTTGAGTAGGAGGTAGGTTTCTAGTCATATATCACTTTAAGAGTTAGGAGTTTCCGAAAAGGTGGATACTACAATTTCTTCCAGCAAATTCGAGTGGTTGAAAAATTGAACACAAATTCTTGCAAAAGTGAGATAGATTTAGTTAGTAATAAGCGCTTCCAAATTAAGGAGGTTATTCATTTTACTTGTAATCTTATACATGGTATTTGCATTCTAGCAGCACAATAGCAAATCTTGGATTGTAATTCAGAGGGGTATTAATATAAAATATCATAATATCCCAAAAGTTAACTATTTTTTTATAATGAAATATTTCAAAAGAAGAACTAAGGGCCACCATTAACATAAACTCATAGTATTCAAGATATGAAAACCCCACCTTTTAGGGAAAGAAATTCCATGGTACCTTTTTTGTGGCCAAATTTTCCAAGAGAGCGCCATGGAATGATTCCTTGCTAAAAAAGAAGCCAAGTTAGGAGAGTTCCTAAGCCTTCTCCAAACCATGTTTACAAGTTTGAGATGAAAAGAGCCTTTTCCAATTCATGCTTAAATCTCATGCACCAATTACTTTAATGATATTATTAAATAGATTATACACTTTTGATCTTATATATGAAGATCGTAATATTAACATGTAATTGATTCACAATGATAATCTTCTCCTCATAAAAAATGGACATCCTAAAGAATTTATATGTTGAAATGATCAGTTTTTTAATGTGGGGGAAATTTATTATTTTTTCATGTTTTTTATTTTTATATCAAGAATTTTATAAAATCAATTAACTTAAGTTCACACAATTGTCAGTGATATAGGACATAAAAGTTATTTGTTGATCAAATTTAATCAATTCTTATAAATATTTGATTGTCAATAAAGCAAAAAATAATAATATTTCTTCTAAATATCAAGTTATATCATATTACCATTGTATTTTACCACAAAATCATTCAATATGGTAAAATTGCAATGAGATTATCTATTTATATTTCAAATTTATTGCACTTTGAAGTGATAATTCCTTAAGCAAATGAAGCCATTTATGTAAAATAATGTAATATATCTTACTTATAATTATATTATTTTTTAAAGTCAGATCAAAAGGGAGTTTTGAATTTATATGTCAAGTAATACTCAAAATTGGAGAATAATGTATTGAGCTTCATTTTTTAGAGAAATGTACTAAGTTCTTTTTTTGACCGAATTACCCCTCTTGTGCATGCATAAACTGCTTATTAAAGTCTGGCACAAGCAATTTTTTATTCTAACAGTTCAAATTCAAACTTTATTCATATCAGATTTGAATTGATTTAAACAAGATTCGATATTTATTTGATCAAACCTTATTCGAACCTGATTTGAACAAAATTCAAACTTTTATTATCCCAAATTGTAGTCCACAACGGGCCTCTCCACACCATTGGTGCCATCGTTGCCTTCCCCGACAAACTCCCATTGAGAAATATCTTCACTAGGTGCCTTCCCATCATGAAATCATTTCCCGCATTCCCCTAGCTTTAATGATCTTGTATGTGAACCCCATCTAACTCCCATCACGGAATCCTACATCACGGCTATGATTCCTACTTCAATGAGCTTTATTGACCTAGGTTCAATTTTTTTTTGGAACTTATTTGAATCACATTCAAATTTGTATTTAATTTGAAACTGATTAAATCATTTATTTTTTTCAAACACCTTCTACAATAAGCAATTAAAAATATAAAATTTGATTTAAAACGAACTTTTAAATATATTTCTCAATAATAAATTAATAATTATATTTCTTAACATTTGAATATTATAGAGCATATAAAATAAAATTTCTCCAATATAAATGCCAATAATATTAAAAATAATAATTTTAATCTTATAAATGTAGAAAAAATCACAACACTAAATTGGGGTACAAAAGTCCACTCATTTCATTTGTTTATTTATTAAAAAAGCCGAACCACAATCCAACAAACTCTTACCCCTCGCGCGGCTTTCCTAATCTTCTCTACCTCATTCGTAACCAATACCTCACTCTTCAGCTACCCCTGGTCCTCTCTCGCTCAAACCATGGCGGCGGCCACGACATTCTCCATTATACCATCGCCCACCACATCTCGCCTCACTCTCCGTCGCCGCTCCATTCGCTGCCTCTCGTCCCCTGCTCCGACCCCGCCGGCGACCGTACTATCGCAAGATGACCTCAAGAAACTTTCAGCCGTGAAGGCCGTTGAATACGTTAAGAGCGGTATGGTGCTAGGCCTCGGCACGGGATCCACTGCGGCCTTCGTCGTTTCCGAGATCAGTGACCTTTTATCCTCTGGGAAACTCAGCGACATCATCGGCGTTCCAACGTCGAAGCGCACATTTGAGCAGGCCAAGTCGTTGGGCATACCATTGTCAACCCTTGCTGAGCACCCACGGTTGGATCTCGCCATAGATGGGGCGGATGAGGTCAGTTTTCGGTATCTAGGTCATTGATCTCTTTATAGGCCATTTGGATTCTTTTTGTTTTTTTTGTTTGTTGTTAAAATGTTGAAATTTGTTTCAACCTTTTCATCTTGGTTGATTAAGAACACTTTATACGCAAGGGATCAAAAGAATCGTATGTTAGGTTATCAATGTTCTTTGTTTACAAAGAAGTGTATTTCACTTTGAAAAGTTAATATTAATGGTATTTAAAGATTTGGGTTTATGTAACTAAATATCAAAATTTAGGTGTTAGATATTGAAATACATAAAATTTGTGTGGTATGCATGTAAAGCCCCCTTCTTTTTCCAAAGCAACTCATGCTGACATTGTCTTGGTTATAGAATACCTTATGGTAAGCTCTTGATGTGATTCATCTTTCCTTCGAGTCTCTCCTCCAAAGCATCAACTTTTTCGGCCGTCATTACAATGCGGAGTTTGTAGATTCACAAAATATGGATTTTGGAGTAAAAAAACAGCAACTTCCTCCTTTTCCGGGCAAAAAAATTGCTGCTGGAATTTGCCGAAAACAGCCCTACATCGGTCCCAAGACTTGCTCTGATACCAATTTGATAGGAAATACTTGAGTTTGCAAGTAACCCTAAGGGAATACTTGAGTTTGCAAGCACACCTACCACTAATTGGAAGAAAATAGCATGAATAAAGCAAAATCTGGATGAAATCAGCCCCAAAACAGTGGATTGCAACAAGGGAAATAAAATAAAACTAGCACAAAGCAAGATACAAGTGATCCTCTATTCGAGAGGAGGATCATTCTGTCCCAATCTCTAGACGCAAGGTCTAGAGCCCTCAAACCTCAAAAGACTCCAAGAAAAACTCAAATCTAAGCATACCTACCTTAGCCCCTTCATGCCCTTTAAATAGCCCTCTCCACCTCCTTAAAACTCCACATCCTTAAAAACTTCCTAATATAAGATATTGTTTAATTAATACAAAAGATATCAAATCTTTTAATTAATTAAATCCACCTCCTTAAAAACTTCATAATATAAGATATTATTTAATTAATACAAAAACTATCAAATCTTTTAATTAATTAAATCCACTTTCCTAATATAAACTAATTTCAAAATTCATTCCCTTCTCTCCTATTGCCGCCTCAAGGGGGGCCCACAAGCTGGGCGGAAACACATCAAGGAGGCAGCTTAGCCCACCTCTTGTAGAACTGGACTGATTGGACTGGTCCATTGGACCGGTCTATCAGATACAAAACGAGCATATCCGGGAAGAGGTTCGAGTAGTTCTAGTGACACATAAGATTAGAGAGAGTTACCTTAGATGGCTTGGTCTTGTAAAACGTCGGCCTTTCGATGATCCTATTAGGAGAGTAGTTGTATTAGATTTGGCCTATGTTAATAAATGTAGATGTAGATTGTTAGACCGGTCCATTGGATCGGCCCAGCCTAACCTAGGCGGAGACGTCCGCCTTTCCTGTACGCCGATCACACCGCAAGCGCCAATCGGGCTGATTTAGGAAGGATTTTTTAGAAAGTTTAGGAGGGAATTTGAATGTAGTGACTGTTTAGGGATTTCCTTTTGATTTGTATGCATTAAATACTTTATTTTCCTACGGTTAGGGCATCTTGAATTTGGCTAAAATTTAAGATCTCTTAGATTTAGGTTTTCTTTTGGGCTCTAGCTGCGTCTAGAGATTTGGGAGAGATAGATCCTACTCTCAAATAGAGAATCAATTGTATCTTGCTATTTTCTGTTTCCCTTTCATCAAATAATACAAATTATCTAATGTTTTTATGGTTTTGTGCGGATTTTTGTGTAGGAGCTCGTTGTTTTTCGAAGATTGATAGGAAGTACTTGAGATCTACTAGTGTTTCCTATCATAGTCCTAAAGAAATTTGATTAGAAAATATTATAAATGATATTTCTTTATTCGATTTAAATGAGAATTTGACTCTTAACAGGACACAATGGAGAAAAAAGGATTCATGTAGCCCACCCCTCATAGTGGGATAAAGGCTTGATGTTGTTGTTGTTGTATAAATATACCAAAAGGGATTAAATAAAAAGTTTATAAATAAGAAAAACCTTAAAAAATAATTTTCTCATTTAAGTGTCATGATTAAGCATCTTAAATATCGTGAATCACTTTTTTTTGCATCAAAATAATTAATCCTTTGATTCTA